GATACAACCGATTACTAAATTCACTTCCTGTCTTATTCCTAAAGTTCTTGTTGTTGTATATAATTTGTAATTATAAGCCACAATATGTCAATATTATAATAACAACAAAAACAACCCTAAGAATCAAAACCCTACGGTTGGCTTCTGACAGACCTTTGGAAGAATTTGGAGACTAATTTGTTCAGTATTTTGACCTACATTGTATTGGTGACCATCAAAGTGAATGTGTGCTACAAATCAAAAGAAACTGGAAACGGTAAAATATTAAAGCAGGGCGAGGTATACGTCGTCTTCCAAACCAGCCCAAACTGATCATAATTTCCTCTTCATGTACTCGATAAACAATCACGAAAAATTATCCCTCCCTCATTGTGTTTAGAACTAGTGCTGAAGAAAGGGTCAACTTATTAGAGAGCTCATTTTCTGCGGGTAACATTGAAATCTAAACCATTAATTTCCTGGAAATTGAAAATTTAAATTTTCAGTCAAACATAAGAGGAATTCGTTTGTTAAACTTTATTCACTGTATACTGTAGACAAGACGGAGAAAATTATTGACGAGAACAGAAGACCAATGCTCTCAGTCTCACGAGTAAGCTTCATAACGCGAAAACTGCAAGCTGTCTCCCACGAAAAGTAAATGCGTGGAAAACGTTTCACGAGCTTAAAACTAAAAATGTTCACCTAAGTTTTTGTGTGAAGTGCGATTTGCGTCATTTCGAGGTAATTTTAGTTCCGATAATTAGGACATTAACAGTAAAGCTTGACGTGTTAACGGATTACAACTAAAAAGGTACCAATAGCAGGTCGTTAAGATATAGTATTGGCCATTTTTTTCACCAATCGTAGATTGTACATAACACTGAGTTGTCACTGGCAGTAACAAGTGATAATTTATTGTCGCTTTTTCTTTTGTATAGAGCTTCGAGAAGCCTGAAGATTTAGTTAATTCGGGAAAGAAGGACACTTCTTCCGAGGTAGAGGCCTTCCAGCAAGTTATTGCTGAGCTAAGAGCAGAAGTGAGATCATTGAGTGAGCAACTGGAACAAGAAAAGAAAGCTGCGAGCGATGCAAAGAGTTTGAAAACAAAACAAATAAGCACTCTGACCTCTAAACTAGCGAACGCGGTGAGACAACGAGAACAAGCCGAAGAGGAACTGGCCAAGGTGAACAAGGAATTGGAGGAGCTTAAAGAAGAACTGCGGAAACCACAGGCAGAAGAAAGAGAAGCTAAAGAAAGCGAAGATGACACTGAAAACCACAAAAAGGAAGATGAGAGTTCTAAGCATCAGTGTGTAGAAGAAACAGACGAAGCTGTAAACACACAGGAATATATTAAGGCTAATGACAACAACATTGCTTTTTCTTGCCTTGAAAATGATGGCACTAATCCAGTAGACGAATTAAAAGATAACGGGATCTTGTCTCCTCAGTTGGAAAACAACTGTGATCTGCTATCTACCGTGAACAGCTTAGACGAAAATTCACCGACAGATGAATTATCACAAAGCGCCACACATACTGAACTTTCACTGAGTTTATCTTCGGCGTTAAGTGACCATTCATTCAAAGATAAAAACGAAGATCTGTTCCTTCTTGAAGTTTCACAGAGTTCGTCGTCAGAAATTTATGATTCGAATCATATTGACCATTCTTTTGAAAGCCACGAGGAAAACCCTGAAGACAAGGGAGCAACCACAGAAGAATTCGTGCAGATTGAAAAGGATCTTTGCGAAGAACAAGAAAACATGTTCCACGATCTGGGAGAAGATGTGAAAAGTGTCACTGAGGAGCGACAAAAGATATTAGAAGTCGCTAATCCTTCTTCAGCGCGTAAAAATAGACGAATTTGCGCAGAAAACAGCGAAGAAGACCAAGAATCGTCCCCACCCTCCTCCCCCGAGGAAATTTCCTCTGGTTTCACTTCAAACAGCACAGACGAAAAGCTTGTAAACTTACTGATTTGTCATGAGATGGGAGATGAACATGGGGCCGCAATGTTCCCTGGGAACGAAGACAAAGAGCAAGACACGCATCCAAAAAGTTTCTTAAATGAGTATGAGAGGGATGACGTCACAAGAAAAACTACAAAAGTCGAAGAACATAGAGCACTGGAGAATTTAATCACGAGAGAGGAAGCTGCAGAATCAATTCTAAACACAAATTGCAAGGCTTTAGAAGACAGGTACTTCAGTTTTAAAACTACTGGTACAGTAAACGAAGAAGAAAATGGCGATAGACAAAGTAGCGAGCTGCAGAACGATTTCCTACCTCACACGATGAGCGAGGAATTCTGGGATTTGAAGCAACAACTAAAGAACGCTTTGAAGGAGATGGAAGAACTGCGACTTGAAAACAAAGAGATGAAGAAGGAAATACGAAACCTGTCATCCTCTGCCACAGAAGAAGAATTCCTTCTAAAAACGACAAAATTTACTGATCGACTTTTGAAAGAGATGAAAGATCGAGATGCAAGGATGTATGTCCCACGAGGAGTATCCTATTTAGAGAAATATGGATTGGATAGGGACTACAGCAATCCAGGATCCACGGATCTGAGTCACATGCGATCTACTGAAGATAGGAATCGATCTGTGGGAAAAAAGACGTCTCTACCGTTGAAAATTATTGGCGCGAAACTAAAAGAACTCACAAGATCAGTGGAAAACATGGCTACAGATCCTGAATTATGCCAAGAAAACTTTTCAGACGTGTGCATGCCAGATTTTATGGGTTATAAACAGCGTTATCCAGGCTTAAACGATGATTTTGAAGTGGAGGAGTCATTGATAATGCCAGTACCATGTTCTGAAACAATTTCTCAAAGTACAGCTTTTCCACAGGAAAATCCGAGAGAGAAACTACAACGTGGGGGTTACACGTCCGTGGAAAAACTCGGAGAAAAAAGTTTCCTTGCTTCTTCAAAAGTTCAGCCGCAATTCTCAGAGGAAGCTTGCGCATGGAAAGAGAACAATCTTCAACTTACCGATCGTGAGACAGAAGAACGAAGCAATTACCACAGCCCACGTGACAAATGGAGACTTCACAACGATACTCGAGATTATGTCCAGCGGTATGTCGTTCGTTCGTCTGATCATATCGCTAAAATGCGAGACTTGACGCCGGAGGAAAAGGCGTTTTATTCCAATTAGGTTAAGCAGGAGCCTTTACACTGGTTTTGTCTCTTTTTACCAGCTAAACAGTTCACTCATATTCATGTGCTCAGAGCGTTTTGTTCCGTAGTCAGTTGAATGAACAGCAGTCGATTCCATTCTGCTCTTGTAACGAGTGGTGCTCATTTTGTCCTATCAGTGATTTAGTGATTTAAGTATCTAGCTGTGGAACAGAAGACGGGTGCTTCCTGATTGCTTAACAGCTAGATACGGGTTTAGACGACGTTTTCACCTGTAAGAATATAAACGGCTGCCAAACATATCAGTTTTGACAGTGTATGTAGCGATAAAACAATTTTGGACGATTGTAACACAGTACATTAAAGTGAGTTTCAGGGACCCAAAGGGCTTAGGACTTTTAAAAGGTTTCAGGCTTGAAAAGCGTACCATCTTGAGGCGCACTATTTTGGGGCCCAAAGGGGTCTCTGGGGCCCTAATTCTCAGGTGAAGTTTAAGTATGGTCATTGCAAATACAACACTATCCTCAGAAAAGGTAGTCTCCGAGAGCATCTGTGGTTTTCGGTTCTTGTTTCAACAATCAACTCAGATAGAGTGTTTTCATGTTTTATTCACTGTGCCTATAGCCAGTCAGATACTTTGTCTAAGCACTCTAAGGGACAGATTTCCTCTGATATCAAGTCACTGACCGTTTGATCTCACCAGGGGTATTTTGACTAAAAGGAAATATGGCGCCCGATATCCCGCAGAAGTGAGCCAAAAGGGTACTATTTATTTAGGCCAGTCAAAGTTTGTCATATTTCACGGGGCATTAAAACACAATATGTACTCTAATAAACAACTTGTTGTGAATCGCTGACAAAATGTTTGGAGTATATCACTCCCATGGTGTTCGTGGTCACGTGTCCTTTAATACATTGTCTAGAGCGACGTCAGCGTCGCCAAATTTTAGTCTAAAATCCAGACACAGTCCTCGGAATATTTTGAGACTCCAGTGAGCTTTCCATTCCTAATTGCCAGGTACTTCTTGCCGAAGTTTGCAAAGAGCACCACTGCCCGGCGACCGTCGATGGACTGGTCATCAGCCTTTAGGATCCATTCCTCCGCGCCATAGTGCTGGGCCTTGGTGTAAATATAATCACCATTGGGGTCATACCCTGTCGAGAAATGTAACATAGGAAGTCATATATTTGGGTTATTGACCGGTCAATATATTGGATATATTGGCCAAGTTCTTTATGCGTGTTTATGGACCGAGACGAAGTCACGCATAAAACGAACGAGGCCAATATCCAGCCATCTTGACCTAACGAGCTTGGTCAATAAGGGATTTATTATATGGAAAAAAGAACACTATTTTCTTACGAGACACAGCGGGTTATCCCGAGTGGTTAAGATAGCACCATCTTGCCCGCTCGGGTAGCCAATCACAGCGCAGGATTCGGTTCATCTTGCCCGCTCACAGAGCTAGCCATGTAATGAGGAGGCTTAAAATACCCTATCGTTACATTACTGAACCATTTGACGCTCACGGTCATGCCTTGAGTCAATTGGACTGTTAAGTCTCCGAAGGAAACCTTAGCATGATGCTGTTCAAATGAAAACTATTTTGAGCTATACTTTTCTTTTATACTGTTTATTATGCTGCACAAGATTGGTTTAACTTTCTAACATTCTGCGGTTGACATTAAAAGTAGTTATCCTCCAACCTGCATGCATTATATATATGCCAGAGGACATAAACGTCTGCCGCTTGAGTTCTCCATTCATCACCTCGAAGGGGGTCTTATGCCTCGGAAGAGACGGGGTACTTGACAACGACTTAAACTAGGTGATTTTGCATTTTGGTTATATATATGTGTGTTAGCAGCTACGGTATTCAAAGTTGGTTTCTAAGTTATAAGTGTTCTCACCTAAGTATCCTTTGGTAGCATAGTTTTTGAAGAAATGAATCTCCGACTTGCTGACTTTTTCCTCTTCCCAGTAACTGGTGTCTTCAGCTCGGTCTCTCAGGACCAAAGTACTGCGACTGCCACTTGCTTGATGGAACTTGACTTGTCCTGAAAAGCGATAAAAAGAGAATCAAGCATTTCGATAATACAATAGCTTTGAAAACCACGAGACCTTATACTTATTAAACCACTGATAATGTTAAAAACGTTCGTTTAGATTTCCCGTTTGCATTGCATTTAATGAAGGACTGTTCCCATTGTAATTCAGTGCTGTAGTTGAAGCTATTTTGGAGCAAAGAATTCAGACTTCATACTAGATATTTCAATTTTTCTTCCTTGATCCATCTTGACTACGAATTAGTACATTAAACAGCCTCAGTCTCAAATATAATACTAGATACACATTTAATTCAGTTTGCCACGCTGACTAAAACTGATGCAGGCTCTGAAAATACAGTTGAGCGCGAAACCAAAACTTGACATTTTAATCCTTAACTTCGTGGCCTCTCAGGCCCCTTCCACACTATGCCGGAGGAATTTGAATACGCATGTTTCACTCTGAAAAACTCCGCAAATGTTTTCGGTCCACACTACGCCGGAGGTATTTGAAAACGCAACAATCACCAGTCATTTTGGATTTGTGGTTGAGGAAAACTTGGTCAGGGAAATCACATGAATATCGTGATGTCATCGTTTTCGAGAAGCTCCGCTTTTCCGTTCACACGAAAATGCAAAGCCGGTGTTTTCAAAGTTCCTCCAGTTTAAAAAGCGTTTTCGGAAAGCTCCGTTTTCGTGGTGGAACAGTGTGGACGGCACGCGTAACCGTAGAAATAAAGCTGCGTTTTCAAATTTCTCCGGCGTCATGTGGACGCTGGCTCGTACTGCTTGGTCAACCAAAAACATTTAATACCTGATTCCGCCAGGAATTTTCCAGTCAGTTTGTGCAGGAAGGCTCTTCCGGGTTTCTTCTTGATATCGATTTGTGGAGTTGTCGCGTCAGCTGCCGCCGGTCTTTCTGAGGGTTTCATCTTGACATCATCCTCATTCTCCAGGGAATTGATGATCTCCTTCGCCAGGGATTCTAGAGAATTCTTGAATTTGGTTCCTTCTCTGATTGTAAGACAAAAAGGTGATCACATAACTTATACACCTAATACGTGAGTTTGACTCAGTTTCACACGGGGCTTATCACAAACGAGGAGCACACGAAGACGTATGATCACAACGGGGCGCTCTTTAAGGTGGCCGAACACAGTTTTCAAGAGCCTATGCCTAATTCACCATTACTTCTAAGCTATTTATGCTTTGGCGCTCGTTTTTTGCAAGAGTCAAGGTTAACCACAGAAAAGTTTATTCTC